TGTCTCCAGTGGGACATGTTTCACCCATTGGGAATACTACTGAAACCAAATTTGTCTATTGAGCAAAGACCAGCCAATCTTCCCAGATTTAGCCTGTACTGAACTCATCTTAACTTCCACCTAATTTAATGGTAAATCATACTGTTTATGTTTTCTAATTTGTTTATGAGTGATTAACTTGTTATTTAAACTATGTATTCTTGGAAGCTAGAGAACATATTTTATGCTTTTGAATCCCTCTCTTCCCACTAAGTATCCCCAATCAATCATTGTTGTAGCTCCATAAGTGTCTATTGAATGATTATTTTTGAAAAGTGCAGGAATAATCTGTGTTTACAAAATCAGATATAGGAAACTAGTAAAGACAGTTTATCTAAAGCAATTAATACTCACTAGTTCTAACGAAAAAGGAATTGAAATCACAACTCACTCTTTCCTATTTTTTTCACTTTTGTTATACTATTGTTCCAGAAAGAATTGAAGTTGGTTTAAAAGGATGCATACTATAGTAAGATATATAAATGAATAGTAGGTGGAAATAACAAAGAAAAAATAGAAAAGGTCATAAAATTAAAGCCATGAAAGAAAAGTACACCATGAAAATATCTTCAAACTTGGCAATCAGCAGGCTCTAAATTAGTTCCATGGTTTTCAGAAGACTCTATAAAAAGGACACATGTCACAGTTATCACTATCTGTTAGGAGTTTAATCAAACCAATTAGGAAAAATCTAGCTCTTCCCAATATCCCTTTTAGAAAGCACAGTGTATTTTAACAAATGATATCCTCAACAATAGCTATCACACCTAATACACTGCTGTGGTTAGAGAAGATCTAAGAGCCTCTGAAACACCAACTCATATACTTTCCCAGATCTAGGAAAGGTATTATGCCTCAGTTAAACTTTGAAAGTGTACATAAGAGAGAAGGGAAGAATTAAGAACTATGGGCAAAATGGGGCAGCTGTACTAATTTTTAGACTCATGACTGGATATTTTTACTACTTGGTTTGAGATGATAATAAGTCTTAGATTATCAGTTATACTCAATAGCTAAAAGATATTCTTCTAAAAGTTAATTGGAGATAATTGTTAAATTATAATTTTTTTTGTTTGTGTATAGTTCTGCTCCTTTTAACTAACACTCAAAATTTTAGTTGAGTTGAAATATCCGTTGCCAAAACTGGGTCACTGACTTCTGAGCTACTTTTGCTTCCCTTTTTAGAACGAATGAAAGGAGAAGATACTTGCGTGCAAGAGAGCAATGAAGCAAGCTGGCAAGCCATTTTCTTAGCAATGTTAAGATGTTGTCTGGGAAATGAAGGTAGGTGGTAGTGACTATAGCTAATTGTCAGGAAAGGGTTCTTTTTATCCTTTTGTCCTAAGGTTTGGCTTTAAAGATCAATGGGTCTGAAATTTTCTTTGGCCGGGGAAAGATCATAGCTTAAGAGAACTGGCTCATGTTTCCCAAGCTCAGAAAGGATGAATTTGTAACAGAAAGACAGCTTAATATTAATAATTTATACTGAAGATTAGAACTACCAAATGGAATGAAACATGTCTTGGCCTATCAGTACATTCTCCTTTCAGTAGTTATGCCAAGTCAGCAAACTAAATTAAAAACAGATTGGAGCTGTATAAACATATAAAATAAGAGTTAGGAAGGGGATTGTGAAGTTAGGCATGTTTCATTTGATATACCTCAGCCAGGATGGGTACCTCTTCCTTTACCAGTTCTTACAAGCCATGGCCTTTTCATCAATCAGTTCAAGTTCTCAGTTTCTAGTGATAAAAGTGTCTCTTTTCCGTCTCTCTAGGCCCTTGAAATTTATATTGGTGATCTATGAGTGTAGGGTATGGCTCCATCTTGTTCTTGAATGATTCTAGTTTTACAGGGAGATCCAGGTTGCCTTTTACAAAAATTTTGTCATCTACTTCCTTCTTTAATCAGTCCTGTCCATAAATCCGAATGCTAGTGTTTGATCTAACCCACAGTACTTTTTTTCTCCTTTGTTATTATTGTTACCCAGAAGTCTCTTTGAAGTTCTATGCTCTGGGTTCTAAATGTAATTTCCTCACATGCCCACAGAGGTTTGTGTTGCTTTGCAAGACTTGTTTTTCAGAACTACTCTATAGTTCCCAAGTGTATGATCTTTTTACTTGCATAATTCTAAAGGCCCCATAGACATTACAGAAACTGAAACCTTGGTACATAGGAGGGAGACTACAAGATATATGGTTCATTTGTTTATTCATTATTTGAATATTTTTTTTCATTTATTCCTTCACTTTTTCATTCAACAATCATTCATGAAAGTGCCTTGTGCTAGACTAGTTAGAAATACAAGAACAAGTCAGATATGATTTTTGCCCCTAAGTAGTTTGCAATACACTAAGAAATGTACAAAAATAAACTGCACATTAAATTATAAAAGCCTTGAGATGAAAGGCTGAGGGAAGGGTACTCCAATTGGAAGGAATAGCTTAAGCAAATGTAGTCCTACTGCTATTAGTTCTGACACATATTCTTGAGGTTTTCTCACTCTTTACCTCTCGGGTTTGAAAAAGTTGCTGTTTTCTTGTTCTTAGGTAAACCGTATTCAGATTTTTCCTCAAAATCCAATCTTAACATAGAGCTTGCTGGAATATAGTGAGATGGATAGGTATGTGGGTTGTGCTGGAAGGAGATATGGTAAGAAACAGTGATAGGTAGTCATTATTTGATTTTAAACATTTTTTGGCTCTCAGCTTTTTGAATTTCTTTGCAACAATGAAATAAAAACCAAATAAAACGAGTAATATCTTCTGTTCAAGGGACTTACCTTCAGGTTTCTGTGGTGAGACACCAAATGTACTCAACTTCCTCTTTCAACAACAAATTTGCCAGTTATCAGTAGGCTCTGAGCCACCAAGAGTTAGGCTTTTTCACCCCAAACGCCCTGCAAAGAAACAAGCCCAGCAAGGCTCCTAGGTAAGTTACAGCTTAATATATGGGAACTGGTAAAATTCCACGTGGGAAGGTTGGGAGGCATGAAGATCCAAGACAAGGGCAGACATGAGGCCAGTGTCCAATTTTAAAATGGACCCTGGCCTCTTTCAGACTTATTACAGCAGGAGCAATGGTGATTCCCTTGGTTCTGATTAGAATACAAAGTTAGGGTTAATGCCATTAGTCCCCACCATTATTCTAGGATCAAGGAGTCTGTGATGCAGCTCACTCTTTGCTGAGGGCTCTTCGTTTCCTTATCATCCAGGGAAGACAGCACAAAGTCATAAGAAAAGAGTGCATTCAGTGATATTAATGGGACAGCTTGACCTATTCATCCAGAAAAAGAGGATTTGGATTTCTGCTCTGTAGTTGCTTAATGAAGGAACATTTTTATGTATAAGCTCCTTGCTTTGGTAAGTTTAACTGTCACAGGTAAGAGGGAAAGAAAGAAAGCCAGATCATAGATTTTGGAGATGAAGGAACCCCTAGGGATCCAAATCCCTCACAATATAGGTGGGAAAACTGAGAGGCCTTGAAGTGAAGACATTTGAGATCACCCAGCTGGTTAGTGGCAGAGCTGGAACTAGAACATATGTCTTCTAAATCATGGACTCTTTTTCCTACAGAAACCTGTATCTCCCAAAGAATACTGTAAATATATTTATAACTATGTTGGATTGTAGGTTAGGAAAGAAGAAAATATCCCAGATGACAAATTTTGTTAAAATTATTTCAGTCTGTTCAAAGGCATTTCTTGATCCTTTGAAAGCTGCATTTTGACCCAACTTCAGACTTATTAGATAGCAGAGCTCCAGAAGTGGTGCCTATCTTTTCAGCAATTATCATTCTTATTATGTTAAGTGCTAGAAACCCTTCTTGTTCTGAGCTAAGATGACTGAATCAAAAGAAAACTTCCAGTTGAGAAATTCTTCAAGGTGAACTGTGTCACAACAGTTGGTACCAGGATCATTTTAGATATAATGATAACAAGCTTTGTGGTGCATTGTGGATGGAGTGGTCTCAGTCCTAAGAGTCCTGCAAGTGGGAATATTTTTTATTTTTGTTTTCCAAATGGATGTGGGAGTCATTTCCCTTTCTATTATTTGAAGAGGTTATCCCTTAGCAATTGCAACACAGTAAAATTATTCACTGTTAAAAAATATGTGATATGCTGATATATTGAAGTAGAAAATGGCCTGAATGAGAATAAAGTCATGCATTTGGTGCAATTATGTTTGCAACAGTTCCTGTTAAACAGAGTTCCTTCTTTAGTCAAAAGCATTTATTTTTTTGGGGATCAACTGGACAAATTGTTGAATTTAAATTGTACAAACTGTGCAAATCCTGGCAGTTGTGGAACACAAGACTTCAAATAAGTGAACATACTTCTGGATGGTTTTGGGTGACTTTTCACAGCTCGTTGTGTTTGAGGTAAGTCAATCTATGTCCTAAGAAGCAGGACAGTCTATGGTCCAAGTAAAGAGGACAGAGCTGTCTTTGTGAATCCGCCTTTTCTAAATGTTCCTACAATCAGGGTAATGACTGGCAGGAAGTCTATGCTTTATTTAAAAACTCTTCTAAAAATGTCTACTTATATTTCCAGTCAGGATATTTTGCATTTGAATTTTCATCTAGTATTGATTCACATGTATCACAGACAGAGTGATGAAGTATATGGACCAAAGTGCAGAAAGAAAGCTTGATTTTAGCTCAAGTTCTGTGGAAGATTCACTTTTGGCTTTGGGCAAGTTACTTTATTTTTCTGAGTCTCAGTATTCTCATCTATAATAAGGTGGGGGCTTGAAATATATTGTCTTTAACTTTCTTCCTAGTACAGTGGTTTGACTCTAGGCTCCTGGTGCCTGAGAAGAATATATCATGAAGTGGTGAATAATGAGACAGTAGGGAAATCTAACAACAGTTAGAACCTTCTGGAAATACAGTCTAGCTTTCAAAGGGAACTCAGTAATCTATGCTAAGGGCCACTATACTTCTTTCAGAGTAATGTCATCATGAGAGCTTCAACTTTTAGACCACAGGCAAGTGTTTTGTAAATAGTTTCCTTTTTTTAATAGTAAAATGCAAACATACAAGGGAAAGAATTCTTAAATCTGATTTCCACACTGACAGTGTCACTTAATCAGTATTTCTTAATCTTTTAAATGCAAAGTTCCATTTGAAAAACATAAAAATCTCACTGCAAAGTTATCGTGGACTTGCCTAGTTAGGAACTAGATCCTGATCCTGGACTCCTAAAAAAACTTATCCCATCACAATGACATTCTCCAAGTACTGTGGGACAAACAGTCAAAAGATTTTTGTAAATCTGCACTTTCAGTTTGCATTATATGGAAAATAATTTTGATTTCCAAATGTATTTACTGTAATAAGGATTTTTTTTCAAGTAGTACATGTTTTCCACTCTTCTACTTCAAGAATTATTGCATTAATCCTACTCAATATTTCTCACACCTATGCTTTTGGGGAGATTTTCTAAACTCAGAAAAGTACACGATCCAACCAAAAGCTCATGGAGGTTACTCTCAGTACAAGTAAAGTAGAAATGAACTAACATTTATTTAATGTATACTGTGTACCAGACAAGATTATAGATATGTTTTCTACGTTTTTGTCATTGTTGTTCACTCAGTTCTGTCTGATTCTTTGTGGAATGGACTGCAGCACACTAGGCTTCCCTGCCTTTCACTGTCTCTTGGAGTTTGCTTAAACTCATGTCCATTCAGTCGATGATGCCATCTAATCATCTTATGTTCTGTCGTCCCTTCTCCTCTTGCCCTCAATCTTTCCCAGCACCAGGGTCTTTTCCAATGAGCCGGCTCTTTGTATCAGGTAGTCAAAGGATCAGCTTCAGCATCAGTCCTTCCAATGAATATTCAGGGTTGATTTCCTTTAGGATTGACTGGTTTGATCTCCTTAATCATATACACTTCCTATTTAATCTTTACAATGATATATGTTACAGGCACTATGATCCAAATATAAATGAGGAAACTGAAGCCACTAAATATGAAGTGAGTCATTTTAGGCTGGAGAGCTAATAAGTGAGTTAAGACATGACCCCAGGTCTGTCCAAAGAACATGATTCTTTCCATCTCCAAAATACTCCCCCAAGTGCAAAAATGATGAATAATTAGGCCTCCTTCTTATGTGATTAAAAATCTAATAAAGATACATGCATGGAAGTTCAATTCAAATTTTATTTTTTTTTCATTTTAAGGATAAAAATAATGTTCACTTCTAATTTATAGGGGAAATGTCTAGACTTGCAGAACATAACCAAACTTCTATATTTCAAAAATAAAGCCAGGTTATTTATAGTTGATTTTGTGGAAATGGTAGAGCTCCAAATTCCAGTTGCTCTTCTTTGGCTGTGGTTATGAGAGATTGAATGAAGGACACTGTGGGTATGGGTATCTGACTGGCTTGGGTAGTTCATGTGAGACTTTTGTGATTCAAATAAGAAGAAAAATGCTTAAAAAAAAAAAAGGAAGTTACATTCCCAAATGACCTGTGAATATTCTCCCCTGGAAAGTGGGGAGATCCCCTGTCAGCAACCTTCTCTAATTTTCTCTTTTCCTCCCAAGATAACAAGCCCACATGCTAGTCCTATTATCAAAGAAAATAGGAGACACATATTTGATTTTTAATATTTGACAAATTTGTTCACTTAATGGTATTACTGACTTAACAACAAGAGGTGAAGAGAGGGAGAGGGCTGAGAAGCTAAAGCTTTGTAGAACTGAGTAGTTACCTTGATGCCATAAGCCTAGGTTTTACACTCTTCACTCTGCCCCTTGTATAGCATTCAGGTAAATGTGATAAATGTGATTACTTCTTTGAGTCTCATTTTCCTGATCTGTAGAATGGGAATGACCTAATTTGTTTTATATATATATATAATATGTATATATGAACTTTAAATAATAATTAATAGCAATTACAGTTGTAATAATGCTTTGTAAAGTGCAAGTAGGTTGAGATGGTAACAGTTGCATTAACGATGGATGTGGCAGTGATGATGGTATGTTAGAGGCAGGGGTTTAGAGAGTCCAGGCCCATAAAGTCATGGCAAGTTAGAGCAGAAGGTAGTTAAGATCATACAGTTCTTATTATCTTAATAATGAATGAAATGAAACTCGCATAAAGGAAGGGGATTAGCAAAACAAAGAGATAGTATTTGAATAATTGCTAAAATCCAAGTGTTATAGCTCCAAATCCAGTGTTCTTTATAATATATTTTACTGCTTCTGAGTCTTCCCCATCTCACATGTCTTGTTACATTTGGCTCACTACTATTAGGGCTTCCCAGGTGGCTCAGTGGTAAAGACTCTGCCTGCCAATGCAGGAGACTCAGGACACATGGTTCAATCCCTGGATCAGAAAGATCTAGAGAAGAAAATGGCAACCCACTCCAGTATTATTGCCTGGAGGATCGCATGAACAGAGGAACATGGAAAGCTACAGTCCGTGGGGCCGAAAAGAGTTGGAGATGACTGAGCAACTGAGCATACAGTACTCTTATAAATCCATCATTCCAGTACTTTATCCATAGATCTATTGTGGTTTGGGTTCATAAGCAAAACTTGTTAAAGATCCCTGGTTTTGATAGTACCCTACCCAGACACCTGGTGGCAATCATTTGCCATATATGTGCAGTCATACATCACTTCATGGGAAATAGAAGGGGAAAAGATGGAAACAGTGAAAATCTCTTCTTGAGCTCTAAAATCATTGTGGATGATGACTGCAGCCATGAAATTAGAAGACGACTGCTTCTTAGCAGGAAAGCTATGACAAACCTAGACAGTGTTTTGAAAAGCAGACATTACTCTGCTGACAAAGTCCATATAGTCAAGGCTATGGTCTTTCCAGTAGTCATATTCAGATGTGAGAGCTGGACAATAAAAGAAGGCAGAGTGCTGAAGAATTGATGCTTTCAAATTTTGGTGCTGGAGAAGTCTCTTGAGCGTCATTTGGAAAGCAAGAAGACCAAACCAATGGATCTTAAAAGAAATCAACCCTGAATACTCTTTGGAAAGACTGATGCTGAAGCTGAAGCTCCAATACTTGGGCCTCTGGATGTGAACAGCTGAGTAATTAGAAAGAACCATGATTCTGGGAAAGATTGAAGGCAGAAGTAGAAGAGGACAACAGAGGATGAGATGGTTGGATGGAATCACTGATTCAATGGACATGAACTTGAGCAAACTCCCAGAGATGGTGAGGGACAGGGAAGCCTGGCATGGTGCAGTCCACGGGATCACAGAGTCAAATACAACTTGGTGACTGAACAACAACAAAAACATAGTCATAAAAGTGCTAGAAATACAATTGAGATTATTAGCATCTTCATCTCTGAAGAACTGTTTTATCCATATAAATGTGACTTTAACATATTTGTGTGCAACAAATTGCTTACAAAGGAACGTTTTTAGCTTTTTCTGCTCATGAAGAGCCTCATTATGACTGAAATTGTAATAACTGTGACTTTGAGGAAGAAGCAATACTTTTGAGTCTTCATTTTCTGATCCATAAAGGGGTATGAAAGTGTTAGTTGCTCAGTCGTGTCTGACTCTTTGCAATCCCATGTACTGTAGCCCATTCAGGTTGCTCTGTCTATGGAATTCTCCAGGCAAGAATACTGGAGTGGGTTGCCATTCCCTTCTCCAGGAAATCTTCCAGACCCAGTGTTCAAGTCCAGGTGTCCTGCACTGCAGGCAGATTTTTAAATATCTGAGCCAGCAGGGAAGCCCCAAAATGGGTATAATAACAATTAACTCAGGGTTCTCTCAAAGGTCAAAGGTAATATATTAATAGTAATAGCACTTAGCTAGTGGCAGGATGCAAGTGGAAACTTCTCGTACTTAGTATTTCACTGAAACTTAAGAGTCTGGAACAAATTCTGATGCCATCATAATATAAGTTCACTTTGACTGTGCCTTTGCAAAAGCACAGCATTGAGCTAGTTGGTTGGGAAGTGAAGCTGCATTTACATATACATTATTAGTACCTATGATGTTCTTGGATTCAGACTCACTGATTCATATTTAGAGGCCTGACCTAACTTTGTGTTCTAAAACAAAATTTAGTTATTTCCATAAAGTCAAGTGTTTAATGACAGAATTCTCACTTAACCTTATGAAATTGATAATGGTTTTAAAATAAAAGGTTGAGATTACAGGCTTTGGAAATTTTAGGTATCCAGATTTGTTAGATTCCAACCTTATTTTCCTTGCCTTGACCATATTTTCTTTAGTAACAAAGGGAGAAAAACTATGACTATTGCTTGGGAGAGTAGCTTATGGGAGAGACATTAGAAGTAAAACTGACTAAGACTCTGCTAATATGTACTTATTCTCCATACTCTTACCTTTATAAACCAATGTGTATGAGTTGAGTTCCTACTGCATGCTTAACCCTCTACTAAGCAAAATGAGAGATATGAAAGTGTAAGATACAATCATCCCTCATAGAGACTACATTTTTATAGTGTAGCCTATAAGTACAGCAAAAGTACAAAGGAAAAGTTCTGAATAGATTGTCCCATGCAAGGATAAGATGAGAGTTGAGATAGGATCTCAAGAGAGGAGTAAAATATTGACTTCTGAGATGGAATCCAGGGAGACAGGAGTTTGATGGAGTTTCAATTATAACTTTATAGCAATCTTCATTATCAGAAATATTCTTACAGTCACACTTTGGAAGTGAATCTTGTTAGTTCAGTGAAGGTAGCTAATTCTCCTGCCTTAATTATTAGATTAGAAGTTTATGCTGATTGTTCCCTTTAGAGTTTGGCTCTTGTTACCAGAGCTCTTTTTAAAGGAAAGAGGCATCTCTCTGTGAAGCTCCTGGCCTTTGATGTAGGCAGAATATACTCTGGATAGAGCACTGACACTGGTGAAACCAAGAGGCAGTTACTTTTTTAAGAATGGTATTGGAGGCACTGAGAATTTGATCCTCATATCTATCTGGGTGGTTCACAGTAATACAGCTAGGAGCTCAAGTATATTCTGAAGATATGGTATTTTC